GCGTATGGCACCCGGGGGTACTCCCACCGGGACTGCTACCTGCCAATGGTATATCTGTCCATCCAGTCCTGAGATTTAAAACCGCTCTGTCACACAGCACGGCCCTCTCTGGGCGGCAATCTTTTTCTCTGCTGCACAGGTCTTGCCCCTCCCCCAGCTTGCGATTGGACAATTAAAAAGGAGAAGCAGCAGACTGCTGACCTCATCACTCCCAGTGCCGCTGCTCCTTGTGCTGCTTCTCCCTCTTCCCAATCTGAGCTCTGCTGTACCCCGGGGCTGCACTGTGGGGACTCTCAGGGGGCCCGATACCCGCTCACGGCTTGTCTATATAGGAAGGGCACTTTGGCCGTTCCTCATTGGTTGGGAGCTGTCACCTGATTCCCGCCTCTGCGCTCACTTCCTGGATTGAGGAATCGTTACTTTGTATCTATTTCATGTTCATTAACATACAATGTGAGGCGGCGGTTTCCTGTCCGGCGCGACGCCGATCTTACCGATGGGGGTCTTGCCGTCCTTGAAGGTGTTTCCGGGGGGCTCCGGCCCGTACAGATCTGTACACGGGATGTATATGGGGTCCTCGTCGTACTCGTCCCCGTACTGCAGGCAGAGCACACGGGGGGAGAATTTGTATAGAGATCAGTCCACAATGGTGCCGGGCCCAGCGAGGACACAATGGTGCCGGGCCCAGCGGGGGCACAATGGTGGTACAATGGTGCCGGGCCCAGCGGGGGCACAATGGTGGTACAATGGTGCCGGGCCCAGCGAGGACACAATGGTGCCGGGCCCAGCGGGGGCACAATGGACATCTTCATCCGCCTCATCCTGACAGCTCAGATGCCGCCATGGCTTGTTAACCCAAATAGCGAGACAGCGAATCACGCGGCTGCAAAATCGGAACCAGACGAGGTCATGAATGTGAGATCCCGGGCCACAGGTACCCAACCCGGGCAATTCCTACCCGGAGGGGGCCACTGATGACAGGGGACCTTTACATGAGGTCTGAGGAGCAGCACTGAAGGGGGCCACTGATGACAGGTCCCCTTTATATGACTGAAGGGAAGGACGGAGGTCAGATAGAAGACTGAAGGGAAGGACGGAGGTCAGATAGAAGACTGAAGGGGAGGACGGAGGTCAGATAGAAGACTGAAGGGGAGGACGGAGGTCAGATAGAAGACTGGAGGGAAGGATGGAGGTCAGATAGAAGAATGAAGGGGTGGACGGAGGTCAGATAGAAGACTGATAGGGAGGACGGAGGTCATATAGAAGACTGGAGGGAAGGACGGAGGTCAGATAGAAGACTGATAGGGAGGACGGAGGTCATATAGAAGACTGAAGGGAAGGATGGAGGTCAGATAGAAGACTGAAAGGAGGAAGGGGGGTCATATAGAAGACTGAAGGGAAGGATGGAGGTCAGATAGAAGACTGAATGGAGGACGGAGGTCATATAGAAGACTGGAGGGAAGGACGGAGGTCAGATAGAAGACTGAAGTGGAGGACGGAGGTCAGATAGAAGACTGAAGGGGAGGACGGAGGTCAGACAGAAGACTGAAGGGAAGGACGGAGGTCAGATAGAAGACTGAAGGGGAGGACGGAGGTCAGATAGAAGACTGAAGGGAAGGACGGAGGTCAGATAGAAGACTGAAGGGAAGGATAGAGGTCAGATAGAAGACTGAAGGGAAGGACGGAGGTCAGATAGAAGACTGAAGGGAAGGACGGAGGTCAGATAGAAGACTGAAGGGGAGGACGGAGGTCAGATAGAAGACTGAAGGGGAGGACGGAGGTCAGATAGAAGACTGATGGAGGTACAATGATGAGAAATGTACAAGGACCAATAGGACGGTCCGGGTCCATAAAGTTTGTTTCTTCATCCGAGGTTCCTCCAGTGTTTGGTGGTCACCATGTGGCCGGGGAACCTCCTTAGAATCACACTAATGTTCCAACACTCCAAAAAAACAAAATACAAGAACATTTCCAGATCCAGAACCACTCTCGGGGCCAATATGGAACATGTTCTGATGGCCCACATGGAGCCCCCAGTACCAGCTGAGCATCATCGGGATCCCTCAGGGTCCCCCGTTACTGACGCCTTCCGAGGGCTCTAGAGAGACCCGCCTAATAAAGTGTCCATGGTGTGTCTATGGAAAAAGGACTCTTCAACCAGAATAAGTGCTACCCCCCTCCTCCCCCCTCCCATATTGGGTTTGGGGGAACCGTTGGCCACCATCAATGACTCCGGAACCTCTCTGGGCCTTCTACTCCACTATAGACGTAGAGCCATTGACCTTCGATGGAGAAATCCTCGGCCCGCAGTGCTCAGTTCTCGGAGAACTCTAATCTGCCGCTCTATAGGGCGACCTCGGAAAAGAAGGGGCTGCTTACCAAAATTTTCCCGGGGGAGGGACGCTTGGTGACCCAACAGATGACCCATCAGGTGACCCATCAGGTGACCCAACAGGTGGCCCATCAGGTGACCCAACAGGTGACCCATCAGGTGACCCAACAGATGACCCAACAGGTGACCCATCAGATGACCCAACAGATGATCCATCAGATGACCCAACAGGTGACCCAACAGATGACCCAACAGATGATCCATCAGGTGACCAAACAGGTGACCCAACAGATGACCCAACAGGTTACCCATCAGGTGACCCAACAGGTGACCCAACAGGTGACCCATCAGATGACCCAACAGATGATCAATCAGGTGACCCAACAGATGACCCATCAGGTGACCCAACAGATGACCCATCAGGTGACCAAACAGATGACCCAACAGGTTACCCATCAGGTGACCCATCAGGTGACCCAACAGATGATCCATCAGATGACCCAACAGGTGACCCAACAGATGACCCATCAGGTGACCCAACAGATGACCCAACAGGTGACCAATCAGGTGACCCATCAGATGACCCATCAGGTGACCCAACAGGTGACCCAACAGGTGACCCATCAGGTGACCTATATACAGTGATGAGGACGTTGGGTTTGGCCTGACCATCTGGAACGCGGATGGATCTCCTGGAAAGACCCCGGAGGTCATCGTGTCCAAACTTTCCCTCTACGAAATCTTGTGTGATGATGGCGGACGTCTCCCCAATTTTCATCTTGCCGTGTGGTTCCCGCTCGGGGTC